TTTTTTTTTTAATGTTTGATTTTACACTTTGCAGCAAATACCCTTTAAGTGTTTTCTCACTAATTAGTTCAGCTGTTGGTGTGTTTTCCTTGCAGAAAAGCTCGTGCGCGGTGAATTCAGTATTAAACATAATGCGCTCGGGGTAATCAGGTAAAGTCTTCGGACTTTGACAATCCTCTGCAGGATTATGAGAGCAGAGAAAACACCGGGCGGACGCTGGAAAGCTTTAAACCGAAGGGGGCGACCACGCGCGGCAGCTCCAGCTCCCTCTCTCTCGCATCCTCGCGACCCCTACACTCGTGAATCGTGAGGGAGAGCGCGCGCAGCCTCACCGTTTCCTCAGCATAGCTCGTGCTGGCCGTGCCACCTTGCCCGTGTTCAGCCATCTCCCACATTCCTCCCGGAGGGTTTTGCGCGGCGCAGTCCCGGGGGGCTGCGCTTGTTAATGGGCGTCTTGGACGGCTGCCTCTCTCATCCATGCGCGCGCCTCTGAGTGCGCTGTAAGCAGCAGCAGCAGCAGGAGGAAGAGGGGGAGGAGGAGGAGGGGGGCTGTGCCGTGTCCTGCACGGTGGAAATACGCCTGCTCTGGTTACTGTTAAACCGAGGGGAGAAGAAAAGAACGAGCAGCGGGATAAAAAGAAGGAGCGCGTTTGGACGCTGACGCACGAATTTGGTAAATTGTCAACGGGACGGGCCTGCTGCCATGGACGCCTCTTCATTATGGTAAGCTCACATTTACACATTTGTATTTTGTTGTGTGTTTTGTGTCAGTGTAGCAGAAACCTGAGCTGCGGTGCGCAGCGTTTCTCTGCGCCGTTTGTCTCCGACTCCTGAAGCCGTGCTTCGTGATGGGGGGGCTTTACCTGCTTTTCGGCTTTAGGAGGGGTTCACCACCCGCCTCAACGTTTAGGACTGCTCTGTCAGGATCTGGTTGTTTGTAAAAGATAAATACAAATAAAAAAAAAAGTCCATAAGATTAAAGCGTGGGTGCACGGTGTTCCAAACAGCATGGAGAGGGTGCTGCTCATGGAGTAACCTTGTGTTACACGAGATGGGTGATATTTAATGTTTGCAGCCAAATCATTAATAATAAAACGCTGAATTGCTTTGGGTTCGGTCTAATCTGCTAAAAACTATTCTCCCCCCACCTGATTTTATATTTATTTTCACAGGTGGGTTCCTATTTAACTTTGTAGCAGCATTTTGTGGGTAGCAGCTCCACCTCTTTGTGTCTTGTTGCTTTTCTTTTAAAAGCAGAGCCCAGGGATGACTGCACAGCTGATAGTTTTACTGCAGCACAGTAATAATAATAAAAACATGAATAAAATTCATGAACAGATCGGCTTCCAAGGACTGCCAGTTTCCAATGAATCACAAAAGAAACTGCAGCCTTATAATTAAAGTGAGCTGAATTTATTATAATGCTGCTGGACTTTTTTATTGGTTATTTATGAAGGGAACGCCTTTAAAGCCACATTATCACAAGAGTTCACAATCCAACCAATCAAAGTAGCAGAAATAAATGAAGACAGCACAAATGTATCATGCGGTTCGTGCAAGTATTTGAGACTGGAGGAATAAGAACAGGAAGGGGCCCCCTGGGAGTCGTTTCTTGGGGCCCTACAAACAGCATAAATCAGCTTTGCGCTCATTTTGAGCTCGTTGTTCGACTTGCACCTTTGAGAATAGGGTTGTATTTGTTCTCATGTTGGCTTATCATCATAGTGATAACTGGAAAATATAACCCCCTGATCATTAACAAGATGGTGTAAAAAGTGAAATAGGCTAAATTTGACAAACTCGTGAAATCAACCATTCAAGCTGGTTTTAATGGTGCGCTTCCCGTTTGAATGTCAAGCATTGGAATTACAAAGTTTTATTAAAGGGACTCGTACAACTATGAAATTAGTTATTCTGAACTATAACAATTAGTGCGATTTAAAACAGTTGAGTCCAGTAGTTTTCTAGATATATTAATTTGCAATTTTGAAAAGCAGGTATGCACTTAATGTAAACTAAGCACTTTTATCTGCAAACTTTACTCATGAAATCTATACCAGTACATCAAAAGTGTTGGACTCAGTCCCAAACAGCTCTTTTACATAGTTGCAATTGTTGACCTATTTTTAGTATTTTCAGCTGCTTTCATAGGTAAATCAACCGTATGCCCTTTGCAACACTTAGTTATTTAATTCATGGACAAATTAACCATCAATATGTTAACTGAGGGGTAATGCAGATTTAAATTCCTTAATGAATCTTATTTTTGATTGGCTTTCATGGCTTTCTACATTAGTCTCAAAGTTTTCCCAGGCCATGCCGCAGACGTCCAGACTTAGAATCTGTGTGCATGGGGAGGGGTGTGGGTGTTTGAACGCACAAGTGTCACCATTGGTGATACTGGGAGGGAGTGGGGTATGACCTCAGATATTAGAGGTTAAATCCAGGGGAATCCAGGGGCCCTCGATCCTCTGTGGCAAGTGTTTGGTGGAAGCACCAAATGAGAAGTCTGAAGTTGTTAGGTCCCCTTGAGGTTAACCTTTGTCGAACAAGGCTGCATTCTCCCAGTTGTCTTTGTCGTGCTGATGAGCTCTGAGAAGCCGCCTCAGCACAAGTTCTCCACAAGAGAGGCGAGGGGAACAGCCCACCCTTTGTAGTCACGAATGAAAAATCTGTTGCTCGTCTTTTCTACCTTCGTTGTTGCTTCGTTGCGAGCTGAAAGCGCAGCTATTATCCTTGGGAGCAAGGCGCTTGTATAGCGCACCATGCGAGTTGCATTCGGACCTTGTTACGTTCCGTAAACGATCGTCGCGTTTGAACTGATGTTGGGAGCGCACGAGGGCAGAAAGATGACAAGGAAAGAAACAATGAAATGCTTCTCTCTCCCTGGAGTTTCTCAGGGGAAACTGTGGATTTGAAGTAATAATTGTTATGAGAACTGTACCATCGTCTAGGGAGCCACTGGCTGCGTGAGAGGAATGGATACAGCAGATGATGAGAGAAGAGAAAGTTGTCCTTGATTAGTTGGAAGAGAATGGCGTTAAGGGTAGTTAAATATAAGCAGCATTAAGTTGTGTTGAACAACAGCTAATCTTAAAATTAAACGACCAATGTGCCGGTTTAGTAGAAATCCCACATTTGATGTTTTCGTGTAAACCTTGTATCAGGTTTTCACTCCATACCTGGCTTTTTAAGCAACAGGAGAGGTGGATTCAAGTCTAAAGCATTATGTTTAGTCAAAGCTTCGGTCCGTCATCTTGTGATTTATCTAAAAAATAATAATGGGTAGCTGTCACGATTAGACCACTTTACTGGACGTGAAAGCCAGGCATCTCCCTCGCTTTCCTTTATACAGACACATGCACACAAACACTTCATTTTTTAAATGTTGACAGAACAACTCCTGCCTTTTATCACAGAGTACACTGCAGAAATCAAAAGCATGTGCTATTAGCCTGCGACTGTAGCACGACAGCTTTTCTGTGGTGATTGACACAGATAGAACATTAAGTTGTAAAACCAAATATTTCTAACATTTTGTGCTGACTTCTTATTAATAAAGATTATGAAACAGCTTTTTTTTCATGCTAATTGAATGTGTAATTTTTTCTAAAATATAAGTCATGTAGTATGCTAACTATCCATCCATTATCTTTAACCACTTATTCCATTTTGGGTCATGGGGGTCGCCGGTGCCCATGTCCAGCAATCACTGTGCGAGGGGCGGGGTACACCGTGGACAGGTCGCAAGTCCATCACAGGGACACATAGAGACAAACGAGACAAACAAACATTCACTCTCTCACTCACACCTAGGGACAATTTAGAGTTACCAATCAGCCTAACATGCATGTTTTTGGTCTGTGGGAGGAAACCGGAGCACCCGGAGAAAACCCACGCATGCACGGAGAGAACATGCAAACTCCACCCAGAAAGGCCCCTGGACCGGGGTTTGAACCAAGGACCTGCTCGCTGAGAGGCAGCAGCTCTACCAGTTGCGCCACCGTGCTGCCTGTATGCTAACTAGAGATGGGCATTTTAAGCAAAAACACTGTTTGAATTTGTTGGGACCGTCAGTTTTCTTTCACATTTTCTAATGGAAGTATTCAGCTGGATCACACTACTCATGGTGTATTAAAGTTTACTTGTCCCAAGTCTTGCCGTTGAAAAACTCTTCATGGTACAGAGACATGTGCTGCTGCTAATATTGCTAGCCGGGGGTCTTTATTGCTTTACCGTCACCCGTCTAATGGATCAATGTGCATGTGCTCTGGCAGTAAAGCTGAGCTCACCGCTTCCACTTTCAACCCTTTCAAAATAAACTACAATGGCTAGGACGCTTCGAAGGTGGTGGCTAGGTAGGTGTGTAAAAGAAAAGGCTAACATACTGGAAAAGCATGTGAGGAAACAACTTAGGGTGTCACTACCAGGCGCTGACGGGAAAATAAATTAACAAAATGGCAATTATGGTGACATAATTTACTCGCTTACTGTTTTTAAGTCTTATTTAAATACTCACTTTTGTTCCCTGGCTTTTAACATTGTGTTAGTTGATTTTAACTTGTCTATATTCTATAATGTTAGTCATTTAGTTCTTACATTTACCTTTGGATCTATGTATTTTATCCTGCGTGCTTTGCTGGTTTGGCTTTTGCTGTATAGCACTTTGGTTGGCCTTGATGCTGTTTTTAAGTTCTTTATAAATAAAGTGGTATGGAATGGTATGAACCGCCTCTCGCACAGCTGGACATGGGCACCAATGACCCCCGCAACCCAAAAAGAATGAAGCGGGTAAAGATAATGGATGGATGGATGATATGTTGTAATTTTTTCAAATTAGGCCTTAAAAATTGAAAAATCACTGCCCATCCTTAATGCTAACATGTGACGCAGCATCAAATCTGTGACACGTTTGCTGCTACAATCACACGTTGTTTCACCTGCTGAGCATTCAAACATTTGACTTGGAGCGTTGGTGAGATTTTTTTAAATTTTTCCCCCCCCTCAAAATATCCAGAGCAAATACTGTGAGTATTTGTTCTCACACGCTATCTCTCTGGAAAATATTTAAAATATTTATAGTGTATTTGCAGAAAAGGGCATTTGAAGGAGGGATTTTTTTGATTCCCTAAAAACACACTCTTATAATGCCTAAATCAGAATTTATTTATGCAGCTAAACAAATAAATAAAGCTCAATTATTTCCCTGTTGAATAATTTTCACGCATTTCATTTTTATTATTTTAGACATAATGTACTGTTTTGGCATTTGATTTCCCAAGAAGTGCACGAAAACTTTCACTAAATCCAGGACTTTTTGTTTAATTTCAGTAATGATACACACATTTCCTGTTCTTTGCAATTCTTTTGTTTATTTTTCCAATGTTCTTGGCTATCATACATTTTGTGCTTGGAAAGTCAAAATCACTTAAAGTTTTGGAGAAGTGAGACTGAAATTATGCACCTCAACCCCCAGACTGTGGATAGTGTTTCTTTTCCAGAGCAACAGACTCTTCTTTGTGTTTAACATTGCGCGGAGCGATTTTTCTGCAGCAGCAATAAGAGTCACCTTAAAATGATAATATTCAGGTGTGGTATTCATTATCCTTACATGTCGTGCTTTGATATATTCCTGTCTGCTCGGTGCAACAATAAAGCTTTGGTCTGTTCTGGTTTCCCTAAATAATCTGCCACATTCCCTTATCCTCCTCCTCTAACTGATA